GCCCACTAGCGTGGCTATAATCAACAAGACAATAACAAATGTTGGCAAAGATGTGGACAAATTAGAACCTTCATATGCTGCCAGTGGGAATGTAAAATGATGCAGTCACTTTGGAAAGCAGTCTGGCAATTCCTAAAAGAATAAACTTAGAGTTACCATATGACTCAGAAAGTTCACCCTTGCTATATACCCAGGAGAATTAAAAACATTAAGTCCACACAAAACCTACACAAATGTTCAGAGTAGCATTATTCATAGTGGTCAAGAAGTGAAAAGAACCCAAATGTCCATCAATGGATGAATGGATAAAGAAAAGGTGATATATCCATAAAATGGAACATTATTCAGCAACAGAAAAGGAATAAAGTATATACTACAACACCAATGAACCTTGAAAACATTATGCCAAGTGAAAGAAGAAGCCAATTACAAAGAACATACAATAGTATGGCTCCATACATATGAAATGTCCAGAACAAATTCACTGACACGGAACACAGATTAGTGGTTGCCTAGGTCTCAGGGTATTGAGGGAAAATGGGAACTACTAATGGGTACATGATTTCTTTGGGGGGGTGATAAAAAAAAAGTTCTAGAATTAACAGTGATGATGGCTGCTTAACTTTGTGAATAAATTTAAAATCACTGAATTATATACTATAATTGCGTGAATTGTGTAGTGTAGAAATTTTACGTCAATAAATCTACTATTGTAAGTTTTCACAGAATTCAATTTCCAGGAAGAATTAAAAAGTGGAAGGCTATACATTGAAGACCTAGTAAGGAGAAGCATAGTGTTACCAAAAGTGTTTCATGCAGATGAAGGTCAGATGGATTTTCTGCACCTAATATCCTACATTAGAAAAGAATAGGTGGGAATGCGTACATCACATGGAAATCAAAGACAACGTGAGAGAATTTGAGTCAATACGTTATGAGTTCACGTACTATCACTGGCTGATAACAACTGACTTCACCATTTCAAACTTCTTAGGTCAATCCAAGACATCTTACTCTTGATTTCGTCTACTAGGTTTCCAGGCATGCCAAATACCAAAACAGCAGGTAGAATAAGGCTGCTGATATCACATTATTATTGGCTATACCTATAGTTAGGTAAAAAATCATCCTGTATAATCATGACTCCTAAGCACACACTAGTATTAGCACTGTTTCTAACAAACTTTTAACGAAGGAACTGCAAGAATTAGCCAGCTGTTATCTGGTTCATTTCGACCAGCATCAAAAACAAAAGTATATTTCTGTCAAACAAGTTCCATAAACATTGTTGGTGCCCCATATGGTTTTGTTGAAAGACTTGTCAAGTACAAAGACTTGGTTTTGTTGAAAGACTGTTCATGAACAATCATGAGCAAAAATGGTGTCTATCCAGGTCATCTGTCAAACTAGTAAGACAGTTCCCTACATTTCCTTTGAAATCAATACTTCAATAAGCATCTCAAGGTATCAGGCCATCGACAAGATGGACCTCCACTTAGGGTCATCAATTTCATACTATAGACCATTGGTAAGGAAGGAGATAGCTTGTTGGCTATTTTCCACAATGCTCATTCTCTTTAAGTAAGAGCAAATTCATTTATAAAAATCTCCTGCCTCCAATCATGACAAGCAGATGCCTCCAATTTGTACAGGGGGCGGCTAGAGGTAATAGGCTAGTTAACAGCCACTGACCTTTGTCAGGTGAAAGCACCAGAGAGTAGCTGAGCTTTCCACGCACTTGGACTGTGAATCCCAAGAGTGGGAAAAAGGGAAAGAAAGATCAACTATGAGGAGTTAGATCCAAAACACTTCTTGGAAATGGTGATTTCATATCCTGCTGAGTCTTTGATTTCATCCTGTTCAACACTAAAAGTGTTGTGTGCCTATATTTACTAAAGGGGACTCTAAATTACTTCACTCTTTCAAGAACTACAGCGTATCTGAAGATATCCCAAGATGTTGCATAAAGAAGGCCGAGAAACACTAGTTTACACAAGCCCTCAAAAGGCATTATTTGAAAGAATATCATATACAATTCCTGACTTCATTTTCAAAAAGCAATTAATGTTCCCTAGGGCTGGAATATTACAGTTCTCCCAAATTGGGTTTTTTCCTCAGACAGGGCAAATAAAGTTTCCAAAAAAGAGTGCAAGACATCAGCAGCACAAAGGAATTATTTTCCCCTAACAGCGGGCCTCTGAAAATTCTAATGAAAAAAAAAAATCTATCGAGGCAATCTAGGAAGTAAGTCTGAATTTGATTAAAGGGAAAAAAATAAAAGTAAAACTCATTTGTCTGTTTGAGGACAAGAGAACAGATTAAATAAGCATCTCATGCGATTCCAGATGCTGTTCCATCCTCCACTTACTTTTCAGTCTTACAGATTCTTCCATGATAAAGTCTTTTATTTTATTCCTAATCTAGGATTTTGCTCTATTTTTTTTTTTAAGTTTTATTTATTTTTGGGACAGAGAGAGACAGAGCATGAACGGGGGAGGGGCAGAGAGAGAGGGAAGCACAGAATCGGAAACAGGCTCCAGGCTCCGAGCCATCAGCCCAGAGCCCGACGCGGGGCTCGAACTCACGGACCGCGAGATCGTGACCTGGCTGAAGTCGGACGCTCAACCGACTGCGCCACCCAGGCGCCCCTCTACTTTTTTTTTGAGAGGGAGTACTTTATGAAACTATGCTTCCCAAGTTTACTTGCCCTGCAACTAAATGTACACGGCTTTGCAGCTTAAACTCTGGCATTACTTAGGAGGATTCAACTACATAGGTATGTTTATACAGGTCAAATCCTCAGAAAACAATTAATAGTAGTAAATAAGAAGTACACAGGCAATGTTATGATTCAGCTAAACTTTTAAGGGAACCTGAAATGCTTTCACTTTTGGACAAGTTCTCTAACTTGTGACTTGAATAAATTTAACCATATTTATAGTTTTTCTGAAAATAAAAGGGAACAAATGGAATCTTCTCTCTCCTTGGAAGGCCAAGTAACATGGAAGGGAAAAAATATGTCCTCCTTGGCCGAGTGAGGCATAACTAAAGATCAAGGGGGAAATCCGTCTCCTCTTGGGAAAAACCCACAAATATTGTTCTTGCATGTCAATTAAAGTGCTGTAGGGGCAGGGCGCACCTGGGAGGCTCAGCAGGTTAAGCAACCAATTCTTGATTTCCGCCCAGGTCATGATCTCCGGGGTTGTCTGGCTGTATGCTGGGCACAAAGCTGGCTTAAGAGTCTCTTTCCCTCTCCCTCTGAGCCTCCCTCTCTCTCTCTCAAAAAAACAAAACCAAAACCAAAAAAACAAAAACAAAACAAAAGATGCTGTGGGAGAAAAGAGTTGATATAAGGGCAGATTTACCTAGGATTTCTGAATCCAATGTAATTTACAAAAATAGAAGGTAACTGGAAGCAGAACTAACATTTATTAAGTGTGCACTCTTGTGCCCTTCACATACATGCTGTTTTCTATTTCAAGAGTACTCAAAATTTTGGAGTCAAACTATGGGAAAATTTCTCCCAACACCATCTTTCTTCATGGTTGAAGTTACCAATGATGGGGAAAACAAAGCAAAATAAAAATACAGATATAGATATAAATGTTTTAGATATATAGATATGTTTAGATAGATATAGATATATCCCTGCAGAAATAAAAATGCAGCCACTTCTACTGCCTCCCCAATAATCTACACTTTAAGCAAATGTGACAACACTAAAATTTAATTCCCAATAATCTACAATTCATTGTGCATAGTACCTATTAGGTGTTCAGTATTTGTTTGTTAATACTGAAAATAACTGGTAGACACAAGCCTTTTCTTTGTTAATGTGCATGTATCATTTTCATAAAAATACATCCCCCCCCTCTCTCTCTCACACACACACACACATAGCCACACTGATGTCTAATCCTGAAAATGCCCTTATGAGAAAATGTGGAAGATAAATATTATGATAGAGTAGGACAGGATGATGACAATTAGAGAAATAATGAAGGGAAATTCCAAGCACTTAAAATCCTTCCAGTCTTTTTGATGTCACGTATCTTGGTTGCCATGGAAACTCACAGGTGTCTGCAAAAAAGTAATCTATTCCTACTTTGAAACTTTAAGGCTGCTTTTGGCCATAATATCGCACATAATCACATCTTTTTACATCTTTTAAATGCCACATCAGAAAATTTACATTTGAAGGGAAGCCACATATGTACAAGTAATATGCAACATGTTCAACTAACCTCAACAGGAATGAATATTGTCATCATTTATCATTTAAAGAGTAACTACCAGAAGTACAGGTAATTCTCATGCTAGCGGACAAACGTTTTTTACTAACCACTCATTTCAGTTAGTTGAACAAGTATACCTAAATCTGTCAGTGGTGTTTTGAGGTTTTTATCCTGTCTTTATTTTGCACTTCAAACAAAACACAGGTAGAGAAATAGACTGGGATTTGTTGTTTGGGGTTTCTAAAAATATCAGAAGGCAACAGAGATGAACTCCATTTATCAGCAAGCAGGTCGGTGATCTGAAGCCAGCCATAAAACACGCACAAAATAAGACTTTCACAATAATTCTGTATATAGGAATAGATGGTAGTGCAAAACACATCAGTCGTCAGTAACAAAACAGAATCTTTGTTGCTATTTGTAAACAAGAGCTCGGGCCACCGCGCCCACCTGGTATGATGGGCACAGGGTTGTGTTCTGCAAGAGTCGCCCTGGGAGGCGGACCTCCGCCTGCACCAAGCTCGGTCCTCAGGCCGGCCGGGATAAAGCCCTACCAGAACTCTTCTGCTTCCAGCTTGGGGGCTGGAGTCGACGGTCCCTGCCTAACTTCCCTGCAGTTACCCGGGCATTCTTAAACCCCACTATCTCCACTTTGCCAGGCACTCCGAAACCCACGGCGGCTCCGGCGACCCCCGATCCCGTGCCCTCTCCGAGCCTGTGCGCTCAGGGAAGCCCACCCGGGAGGCGCCCCCGCGGGTGGCTTACCGAGCAGAGAGCCTATGAAGATGACGACCTGCACGGTGGTGGTGAACTGGCGGTACAGCTGCACCTCGCCCAACTCCCCGAGCGCGCTGCGGTTGGCGCCCCCAGCCTCGGCGCCGGACGCGTTGCGCGGCTCGCTGGCGTTCCTGGAGATCCAGCTGCCGTTGTGCCCCATAGCGAGGCTGGGGTTCCGGCTCTGATCGTCGCCCGCCCGTCCGCCCACCACGGAGCCCCGCCCGGGTCTCTCTCGCCCCGGGTGCGGAGCAAAGCGCGGGCGCCTGGTGGAGTCCTGGAGAACCCGGGGCAGCCGCGGGTCCCCTCACGTCTCCACATCGCCAGCCCCGCCGCCTGGGAGGCGGGGAGGGGGGAGATCTAGGCCGCGCCCCAAGCCGGTTCCCTCCTGGGTCCCAGTCAGCAACCACATGGAGGCGGCGTGGTCTGAGACCACTGAGCTGCGTCCGTCCCTCCTCCCGGGTAGTCAGCGCCGCCAAGCTCACTCAGCAGAGATGGAAACACGGGAGGCATTTGAGAGTCAAGGAAGGCGCTCCCCGCTCTCGCCGCCCCCTTCAACTTCTCCTTCCACGCCCCGAGGGCCGGGCCATCCCTCTCGAGTCCCAGCCGACTGACCCGCTCGGCCTCTCTCAGAAGGAAGAGAACATTTGGCTGAAGCCGTTTTTGAATCCTGCTGGCTTCGAGGGGCTGGATGGCGATGGGAAAGCTGCGAAATACCCCAGCCAAATGACCGGAGCTCCGAGGGGACCCCCGAGTCCCCGACGGCACCCACGGTCTGGGCGGAATGCCCTGAATTTACGCGCAACAGCCTCGCCCTCCGCGGCCGGCCGTCCCCCAGGACGCCCGCGAAGTCTCCTCTGGCCCAGCCCCTTGTCCGGGGATCCGACCTCCCGCCTCGGTGCCAGCGGCAGGGACCCCCTCTTACAGCCCCTTTGCCTCTGCACGACCCAGAGCCCCCCTTCGTGGCCCTGCTCCCGCCTTTGCTACCGGGAGAGACGCTCGCGGATGCTCGGGAACAAGGGAGAACGCGCCTAGAAAGTCAAGGAACCGTCTGCGCGACAGCCCGACTGCCAGCGCAAGCCGGGGGCAGAGGAGGGCGCGCGGCCCGCGGGGGTGGGGCGGTCACGTGACGCGCGACTCCGCCCCCCACGCCGGAGGGGCCGCAGGGATGGCGCCATTTTGGCCATTCCGAGAGTGATTGCCACGGCTGAAGCGTGGGCAGCGCGGAGGATCGTCCTTTGGCTGCGGTGGACGCGTTCAAGGCGCTAACCGGGTTTCGCTTTATTTACTCCTGTGGTTACGGCCCCCTGTAGCGTCAGCAGGGGGGCTGCGTGAGAGGCCCATGATTACACACTACGCTGCCACCTGGGCAAGAAGCCCAGCCTCCCGCCCTTCAGTGAGTCTGGGCTGCAGCTGAAGGTGAAAGATGGAATTTAGGAGCCGGTGCACGGTTTCCTGGGCCTCTTTACTGCGTCTCATCTCTAAAAGGTTTGCAGTACAGCTCAAGTCTGGTGGGTTCCGGGGGATGAACTCGGGCAGGGAGCAACTTCCTGCGAGCTAATGCAAAAAGTTGGGAAGCTGCAATAACCACGTGGAGAAGAAACGGTACAGAGAAACTGAGTAGTAAAAGGAACGTGTACCGCATCCAGAGAAAGGATCTGGAGAAATGAGACCGGGGAAGGCAGCTAACGATTTGCTTGTTTTGAGCTTATGGAAAGTGGTTTCTTTTTTAATTAATGAAGGACTTGGTAGAGGGCTTTAACATACTGACCGATAGCATTAGGTCCCAGAATACTAACTCTTCAAAATTGAATAAAATTACAGAATTGGGGGGGGGGGGTCCCTGGCTGGCTGGCTGGCTGGCTGGCTGGCTCCATAGAACATGCAACTCTTGATCTGCGGGTTGTGTGTTCCAGCGCTATGTTGGGCGTAGAGAGATTAATTTAAAATTTTTACTGAGGGGTGCCTGGGTGGCTCAGTGGGTTAAGCGCCGACTTCGGCTCAGGTCGTGATCTCCCGGTCGGTGAGTTGGAGCCCCACGTCGGGCTCTGTGCTGACAGCTCAGAACCTGGAGCCTGCTTCTGTTTCTGTGTCTCCCTCTCTCTCTCTCTGCCCCTCCCCCGTTCGCGCTCTGTCTCTCTCTGCCTTTCAAAAATAAATAAATGTTAAAAAAAAATTTTTTTTTTAAATAAAAATTTTACCGAATTCATGGGGCACCTGGGTGGCTCAGTCGTTAAGCGTCTGACTTTGGCTCAGGTCATGATCTCACAGTTTGTGAGTTCGAGCCCCATGTTGGGCTCTGTGCTGACAGCTCAGACAGAGTCTGGAGCCTGCTTGGGATTCCGTGACTCCCTACCTCTGCTCCTCCCCTGCTCACACTCTGTCTCTCAAAGATAAAAAAAAATTTACTGAATTTCTTGTCTCAAGGCTGATGCTGGCTCAAGACTACTCGACTTTTACTCTACGAGCAATGAAGTCTTAAAAAGCAAACGCGTTGGGGCGCCTGGGTGGCTCAGTCGGTTAAGCGTCCGACTTCAGCTCAGGTCATGATCTCCCGGTCCGTGAGTTCAAGCCCCACATCGGGCTCTGTGCTGACAGCTGAGAGCCTGGAGCCTGTTTCGGATTCTGTGTCTCCCTCTCTCTCTGACCCTCCCCTGTTCATGCTCTGTCTCTCTCTGTCTCAAAAATAAATAAATGTTAAAAAAAATTAAAAAAAAAAAAAGCAAATGTGTTGTATCTTTGGGTTCCCACAATACCTACACATAATAATCCTCTATGTAAGCAGTTATTTTAAACATTTCAGAGGCTATAAAAAAAGAAGAGGCAAACTTACTGACTAGTTGAATTTTTTAAGGCATTTCCAGTAGTTAAGATTAGTTCTCAGAGACCAAAGTTTTAAGATGAAACCCCTTGCCCTGGAATCATTACGGAAGTAACAAAATGTAGTAGTTGTTTGGCAACATCCGGCACATTCTGTCAAGAAGGGTTGCAGAAGAATGTGTGTAAATGAGTTTAGTAGCAGTTCTAAAAATACCTCTTTACCTGCCACTCTGATGGAAGTGTTGGGATGACGGAGGGCTTCGTGTGGTCCAGAGCCAACAACCAAGAAAGAATTCTTGAAGATGGTGATTGTATTAAAGCACAGGGGCAGGGCCTGTAGGCAGAAACAGCTGCATTACAAGGGGGGAGGGGGCAGCAGTGACCTTTGTATGGAGTCTGGAGAAATAAAGTCCAGAGGGAGTTTCCAAAGAGTCTTTCACATGCTGAAGACTTACTGGAGTCCTAGCTATTGTCAAGGTTTTTCCCTCTAGCAAAGCATTAACATTAAGACGGTAGGGAGGGGCACCTGGGCTTCACCTCAGGTCATGATCTCACGGGTTGGGGGGTTCGAGCCCCCTAGTCGGGCTCTGTGCTGACAGCTCAGAGCCTGGAGCCTGCTTTGGAGTCTGTGTCTCCCTCTCTCTCTGCCCCTCCTCTGCTCACACTCTGTCTCTCTCTCTCTCTCTCTCTCTCTCTTAAAAATAAATAAACATTTAAAAAAAAAAGTTGGGAGTTTCTGGATTTTAGGACATTGACATTGATGGGATTGCCTTTTTCTGGTAAACTGGTGGCGACTTATCAGTTTAACTCTTTGTGGTTTTTTTTTTTTTTTTTTTGTCCTTTCTGGTTTTTGAGTAGCTGTGAGTGTCCAAGGAATATCACACATATACCACCTGGTGGGGGGAAGGAGGGGTGCTGTTAGCCTGCACTTTGCCCTCAGCTTACCCCAGTCTCCCTCATCAACTCCCTATTCAAAACTGCTAGGAAAAGTTGGGGTAAAGAAGTAGGCAAGAGTCAGTTTTGTAGATGCAAAAAGTAGTAAAGTAAGAAACTTCTCATTTTTTTATTCTGAAAAGATACCAGTAAATCCTCTACAGGCCCTAAATTGGTATTGTAACCAAACTTACCTGAGTTATGTTCTTGAGGAGTCACAAATAGAAACTAAACCAGGTGAGTTGTCACACAAAAGAAACTTTATTTGCAGCGAATAAATAGATCAAGGGGGAATAACTTCCAAAACCTGACTTAGGAGAAAGAAAGAATGGGTTCCTTTTATCTAGGGTTAGGATGAATATTTAGATAGGGGAGTCTTGTTATTGTATAGAGGCAGGTGTAAGGTCTCACGTTTGCCTTATGAAAACATGTCTATACCATTGTATGGTATATAAATAAGGCTCGTGCTCCTCCTTGGGTGGAGATTTTAGTATTATAATGAGGTAAAGATAACTGTTGATCACCCCATGGGTCACTCCATGGTCCATTTGCACAGGTATAAGTCAGGGGTTAAGCTCAAACTGGCCAGGTGGTCTAGGCCACTTCTTGTCAAGGCTGTCATTATTGCTTGATGGGTAGTTTCTGTGTGTCCCGTGCCCCCCCCCCCCACAGGACGCTATGCCTGTAGGGTGTTTGGCCTGAGTTGAGAGATAACTTGGGAAGAAGAGCTTAAGAAAACTGTAGACAAAGACTGGTGGGTACAAGCGGGTGAGCAACAAAGGTCAGGTCTTGGGATCTAGCTGATGACAGTGTTAGGGTATAGGGTTAGTTGAATTGTTGGGAAAATGAATAAGGTTTTACACCAGGACTAAAACAAGCTGTGGTCTCTAGCTTAGAGACCCCTCTTCCAGGTTCTTCTTGCCCTGTTTGCCGCATGCGTGAACCCCCCCCCCCACCCACACACACAAATATGGAGGCTGACAACTATAAATGACCCTTCCCACTTGCATTCGGCACTCAGATCTTTGGAGAAAGTCTCCTCTGAGCCTACCACTGTTAAATAAATCTCTGATCCACTAAGATCTCCGAGTGCCGCTTGGTTTTTCCACCAGCATTCCAGCCTGGTTCCGTAACATATTTGGTTTTCTGACGAGGAAACCCAACCACTCTGGCCCATTGTTGCCACCGGTTTGGGAGAAGGGCGAGGCGGTGACGGAGCCAGGGATTGCAAGGGACAAGGCACGCCCTGCCTGAATTTCGGCAGTCTCCAGCTCGTTGTCTCTGGCCGGCCCCCCACTCCACCCTTCCCGCTGGACTCAAGGAGACTTGGCAGGTGAGGACGTGGACCTGACGTCGGAACCAGTAAGGCTGGGGCCCAATCTAGTCGTGTTGCATCCACACAACTCCTGAAACAGAATGCTACCGGGCACCAGTGACAGTCACAGCAGAGTTTATTGCAACGAGAGGTAAGGCCGACCGATCGGGACCGACGCTCTTGACCAGAGTGCGGCCTCGAACAACCGGGGTAGAGTTTTTATAGCCAACCACATCATCTTATCATCACCTGGGAACAGAAGAAAGAAATAGTTTCCAGATGGGGGTGGAAACAGTTCACACCTTCTGCCCTTAAGCTGCAACCGGTTGACCTCCTTGACCCTGCCTCTGGCGCCACTTTTTCAAAGTTCTCAATGCGCCCTTGTCCCAATCCAATCAATCACCGATCCATTTGATTTTCCTTGAGCTTTTGTTCCCTTGATTGATAGATAGGACAAGGCTGTTATC